GTATACCCCTCAATATTGGCCCAATATTGGCACGATTTATGGGTCAACAAACGAGCCACGGCACAGCGTGCAAGAACAAGCTACGAACAAAACTCCATCAAGCCATCATTACCTCACCTTAGAAGAGTTTTTGGGGCAGCACTACTTAGCCACGCCAGCATCCCAGAAGACGAGGGCAATCATCCCTTGACGCCACAAATGATCGTCTTGAAAATAGCCAAATTACAAGCGCTGATAAAACAGCGAGCTACGTCCTCAATTAGCAAACACTATACACCGGCAGATAGTAGAACACCTCTTCTAGCACTGAGGACATGTCCCCCATCATCCTTTTGGGGTTTTCTTGAAATAAACAATTTTGAATTTTTCCACTCGACCATTCTGAAATACGTCCAAACTCATACCTGCGCAGGAAAGCTCGCCCCTCCGCGACGTCTAGTCAGCAATTTCTACTCCAACACCACTCCCAACGCTGCAGAACAAAGTGTATTGTTGACTCTGACAAGGAAAAGCAGCGGTGATCACTTGTCACTCCAAACGACAAGCTTCTCCTTGCGCCACCAACATTTTTCGTTGCAACAGTTGATGCAAAAGTGACTGAATTTTTGCGTGTAGTTTTTGGATTTTACTGCAAGAGGAATGAGGAGTGTTGGAGTAGAAATTGCTGACTAGACGTATAGTGTTTGCTAATTGAGGACGTAGCTCGCTGTTTTATCAGCGCTTGTAATTTGGCTATTTTCAAGACAATCATTTGTGGCTTCAAGGGATGATTTCCCTCGTCTTCTGGGATGCTGGCGTGGCTAAGTGGTGCTGCCCCAAGAACTCTTCTAAGGTGAGGTAATGATGGCTTGATGGAGTTTTGTTTGTAGCTTGTTCTTGTACGCTGTGCCGTGGCTCGTTTGTAGACCCATAAATCGTGCCAATATTGGGCCAATATTGAGGGGTATGCCAATTTCATGGTTCCCTTCAAAAGATTTTGTGCGGGCTTTGGAATGTCGATCTACACCCCAAAGCAAACCTACCTGCAAAATTTGAGCGAAATCTGAGAGATCGACTTGCACATATGTTCTGGTTTTCTCAGACATGCTCTCTTAAACTGTGTCTTCTGCCCTGGCGTCGTCGAGGATGCAATGCACTTCCTTTTCGACTGCCCAGGAAGAGCACAAAGCCGCCACTCTGCAGCTCTTCAGTCGTCTCCATCCGTCAGTCAAGCTGTAGCCGACTCTCCCTACAAAATTGCACGATTCTTGCAGTTGGAGAAACTGCTATGAAGTTTCGAACACAGTCTTGAAACACGATACAATCATGATGAATTGCTGCTATTATTATGTGAACTCTCATTACTGCGGTATTACCTTCCACATAGTCATTAGTCTAGCATGGCGTCATATATTTGTCTCAATTCAGTGTTTTCCGAAGAATAAAAAAAAAAAAAAAACTTAAACTTTGTACGACTCCCTAGTTTTGTAGAGTTTGAGTTTTGTACGCGATGCAAGCGTACAACTTCAGCTGCTTCCTTCGACTGTTGGGTTCGTGGTTTTTCAAAAATTGTCCTGGCTCGAACTGTGAAGACTTTAGAGAACTATAATCCCCTTACCTACAAAAGGTGCATGATCATGATGATAAAGGCAGGTGTGCTTCCACTGGCAGCGTGTCCCGAGCCAGGCAGACGTGATCAGGTCGTGGTGTCCGAACTAACTTTTGGAGTAGAGCGAGTCACGATGGGAAAGGAAAACAACAGACCAAGGCTAACGTAATTGGGAGTTTATTCTGCACACATCAGATGAGACCAGGGAGTAGTACTGAGAGACCCCCCCCCCATGGCTCGGCCATGGTAGGACTACAACCATCATGCAGATCTACCGGCCATAACGAGTTACTTGATACAGAGGTGAGAGAGAGAGAGAGAGAGAGAGAGAGAGAGAGAGAGAGAGAGAGAGAGAGAGAGAGAGAGAGAGAGAGAGAGAAGAGAGAGAGAGAGAGAGAGAGAGAGAGAGAGAGAGAGAGAGAGAGAGAGAGAGAGAGAGAGAGAGAGAGAGAGAGAGAGAGAGAGAGAGAGAGAGAGAGAGAGAGAGAGAGAGAGAGAGAGAGAGAGAGAGAGAGAGAGAGAGAGAGAGAGAGAGAGAGAGAGAGAGAGAGAGAGAGAGAGAGAGAGAGAGAGAGAGAGAGAGAGAGAGAGAGAGAGAGAGAGAGAGAGAGAGAGAGAGAGAGAGAGAGAGAGAGAGAGATGATCGAGTCAGGATTTCCCTGTTTAGTTCCTAGTTCGCTTACAGTCCATTCAGAAAAAGATGATATCCTAGCTTTTGGCCATAAACGGGTCAAATTTTGAGTTTTCGTCTCCTTTTTTTTGGCAATCCCCCATGGAATGCTCTTCCAATTGTGTTTTTGAAGTCTATTTCTCCAAAAAGCAAGCCATAACAAGAACAGGATTTCGGCCAGGTTTTGCCCCCAAGGCACTGAATTGGGTAAAAACCGTGAAAATCCAGGCCGTTCACTCCACTTGCATAACAGTACATTTGCGGTTCGAACCCCAG